AATGATCGAGGGCAAAATTCTAGGGGACTTATGAGTAAGAATGGTTTTGACAAACATACCGATCCTGTGGAAGCACCTCGGTTATCGAAGTATAATTTCAGTGTCAATGTATCAGGGATTGTATCGGCTATCGGAAGGATTAAAGACACCAGGTGGCCCAGACCTATACAAACCGACCCTTCTCAAAAAACCCAAACTTGATGTGTAAATATCATGGCACGCATGGCCATAGGACCGAAGACTGCAGACAACTAAGGGAAGAGGTAGCTCGATTGTTCAACGAGGGACATCTTCGAGAGTTCCTCAGTGATCGAGCTAAGAATCACTTCAGAGCAAGAGACGCGAACAGAAAGAATTGAGCAGGAAGAACCGCAGCATGTAATTCATATGATTGTTGGCGGGGTCGATGTTCCACAAGGGCCTATATTCAAATGTACCAAAGTGTCAATCACTAGAGAAAAGCGGACTCGGAGTTGTGTGCCCGAAGGCGTCCTATCGTTCGATGACGAAGAAGCAGAGGGCATTTCTCAACCGCAAAACGACGCCCTGGTAATTTCTATTTTGCTAAATAAAATTCAAGTTAAACGTGTTCTAGTGGATCCAGGTAGTTCAGCAAACATAATCAGATCGAGGGTCGTAGAGCAGCTCGGACTGCAGGACCAAATTGTGCCTGCATCTCGAGTCCTAAACGGCTTTAACATAGCAAGTGAAACAACGAAGGGGGAGATAATCCTACCAGTAAACATGGCCGGGACCATCCCAGTTACAAAATTCCATGTCATCGAAGGCGACATGAGATATAATGCACTACTCGGGAGGCCATGGATCTACAATATGAGGGCAGTACCGTCGACCATTCATCAAATGATGAAATTCCTGGCAATGGATGGTGTGAAAACAGTTTGAGGGAAACAACACGCTGCAAAGGAAATGTTTGCATTCGATGAGGTGACGTCGATATCACCACCATCAACCTCAAAAAAATCGAGCACCAAAGATAAGCAGATGGCCAAATAGCAATCACCATCCCCAGCTTCGACCGAATCGGAGAAACAGGTAATCGAAGAAGAATAAGAGGATTTCCTTACTCCTCGAAATTTTTTTGTTCCCGAAGAATCAAATGCAACCAAGTCAACGGTCGAAGAGCTGGAACAGATGATACTGATCGAGCATTTACCCGAATGAAAGGTATACCTGGATACGGGGTTAACCCCCGAACTCAGGAAAAAAACACATTAAATTTTTTATCGATAACATGGATTGTTTTGCTTGGTCCCATTTACACATGACACCCTCAATACTCGAGACCCGAATGAAGGGAAACTAGGTCCAAATTTGGAAGGACCATATCGAGTCATCAGAGTCATCGAAAAAGGATCTTACAAACTTGGCACGATGGAAGGCGAACAATTGCCAAACAATTGGAATATATCACTACTCAAACGATATTATTGCTGAGGTATGACCTTCTCCCTTTTTCCATTTGTATTTGAGACTAACTTATTGCAGGTGTTCGAAGACGTTGATAGAACCCTTCTACACGAAGACCTTAGGTTTTAAAGCACGCGTTGCACTCTTTTTCCCTTAGATCGGGTTTTATCCCAAATAGGTTTTTCCGACGAGGTTTTTAACGAGGAAACAACTATGTGCTACCTAAGGAGAATTCAATAGTATCCAAGGCTTCTTTTCAATCAGCCTCGAATACTGGGGGCATCACCCTCGGAGGTTATGTTTTCGAGAAAATAATTCATGCCAAAGAGGGTCTTGTGAGCACGTGATTTTTGCCCTAAGCAAATTAATTCCAAAAGTTTCAAATAATTGATTTCTTTACAATTTTNTAGGCGCGTCTTTTAATAAAATTACCTTCCTAAAGTCGGGTGTGCATTTCATGCGACCCAAATCCAAATCCTAAAACGTTGAATAAGAGGTGTTGAGGATCCGGGTGCATTTCATGTGACGTGATCTGAAAACACGCTCTTAAACGGCGTTCATTTTCGTAAAAATAAATTAAAAACGGTAAATAATTTTAAAAATTGCACTATAGGATTGAACATGTATAAAACTAGATTTTAGCCATTTATAATAATTTAAGCGACCGTGCTAGAACCACGGGATTCGGGGGTGCCTAACACCTTCCCTCGGGTCAACAGAATTCCTTATTCAGAATTTCTGGTTCGCAGACTCCAATTGGGAAGTCGAATTTTTCCTCGATTTGGGATTTAAATTAAATCGGTGCCTTGGGACACCAAAAGCCAATCCTTTCCCAAGTGGCGACTCTAAAAATAAATAAATAATCCCATTTCGAATAATGTCACTTTAAATGGAAAAACTCCCTTATACATTATCCTTCGGGGTAGGTGTGTAAAAAAGGAGGTGTGACAGGTCTCAATAGGAAAACTTTGTAATGGGCCAAACAGTCGGATGAACCATGTCCATATAGAATAGTCGAGTCCCGATGGCAAAACATGTACGCATGTATGAATTATTCAAAGAAGCATTCTTTCTATATCAAACACTTTGTGTCTCGGAGAACTTTGCTACTATACGAGCTCCATACTTGTGATTCTGTGAGAAATGGCTCAAGGGCCAAAATACAAATACACCTCGAATACTCGGGGACTATCATCAACAGCCAACACATTCGAGTTATCTAAACTCGGATTCATGAGACCTCAAAGAGGCACCCCTCGACATAAAGGCCAAGGACATAATACTTGGGGACTAACATTTCGACAAGTTCGAAATGTTATCGGGAAACAAGTCCAAGAGGCACACCCGAAGGCTACGGCCATAATAAAGGCTACGGCCAAAATAACGCGGCTCGGTGACGTCCGAATCCCGCAACAGACCTTCGAATTCTCTGAAAACCGGTTAATAAAGGCTACCCTCGGTAAGATAATCAAAGGGCTTCGATAAAATCAGCCCTCGAAAAACCTTAAGAGGTATCGAATTGGTCAAATACAAACTTGTGCTAAGGCACAAAAAGCAAAAGGGTCCCGATTGACACCAAACCCTCAAAAAGCCCAATGGGTAAAAACAACCGAGGGTCTTTCGGAAACAACCTCTCTACCTTCATAGGTAGGGTAAGGTCTGCATACACACTACCCTCCCCAGACCTCACTTGTGGAATTCCACTAGGTTGTTGTTGTTGTTGTTGACATGCTTGTATACGGTTGAAATTAGGTATGCCCGATTCCACAGGCTCGAGGGGTCGCTTCGAGAACAAGTTCGAAATAGACCGAGCTCGAGCCCGATGGCAGAGTACAAGGCTCGAAGGTCGAAGCGCTCGATGAACACCGAGGCCAAGTATGACCAACCTCGAGATAATACCATTATGGTTTTATAACAGAAAGAGTGAGATTCCCGCAGTGGCCCTAATATCACGATGTAAATTCCGGAGCGGATTTGTGCTAGGCGGTTAGACAGCTGTATAATAAGATTCCTTACTACAATTAGAAGTGTACCTTATTTAGGATTCCCCTACTATGTAAAGGGGATCCCAATCATTTGTAAGGCATCAATAATTGACAAAAGAATATACATACATCACTTTCTTGCTTACTGCTCATCCGAATCTCATTGTTATTATTCTATTGTTCTTATTCACCTACCTCGAGGTTGCCATAGCTCGAGGTCGAGACTTGCTTACCTACTAGTTTGACTTGCCTTACTCTTTAATTTATACACTTGATTCCTTGTTTATCAGTTAGTATTGGATTAAATCGCACATCTTAAAAACAACAATACAAGTTTAATTGTTACTCGGATTTTAGGATAAACAATGCTAAGTCGAGTAAAACTTAAAAATATGGGCCATTTTTTATTATGATGTGAAGTCGCATGTATTTTCTTGTAATTATTTCTTATTAGTTGTGTGAAAGTTGATAACCAAATTCATATTCGGGGAGAATAAACTTTCTTCTATTTCTCCACTATATACTTTCCCTTTTATTTCGTTTCCCCTAATAATAGTAATAGCTCCAAACAAAGTATGTCATAAACTAGGAGAAAATTAGACCAAAAGATTTAAATTATACTCCCTCCATTTCAGTTTATGTGATTAAAAAAAATGACACACTTCTAAATGTAAAAACAAACTTTATACTTTTAGTCATAAGATTTTATAACCACATGAATATTATAACATATTCAAAATTACAAGTTTCAAAAAGTTACGGACACACAAATAATATGACATAGACAATGAATTTCAAAAGTTTTCCTTCTTTTTTATTTTTTGTGTCGATTCAAATTATCTCATAAAATTAAAATACACGAATTATACATTGATAATATAAGCATATTTTATAATTTAGTGTAAGTTAACCTATTGTATTAGATCATTTATTACTATCTTGATTAGGTATCAATTAATGTTTTTCATTAACAGCTTGTTTGTTACCTGTGGTACTGTATCGTATTGTTACTAAAATGCAATGTTTGTTACTTAAATTTTATCGTATTGTATCGTTAAATATATCGTTACCTAACGATGAAAAGTGTCACATTATGAAACGGCGAATTTGGTGTGGTGGCATTGTTTCTTGTTTTCTCTCTCATATTGCCCTTCCTTATTATTAAAAAATCATATTTTATCAGTTACTTACTTTTTTTTATATAATAATTTTACCGTGTATCCAATTTTTTCTTAGTAATATTGCAAGTTTATTCTTCATATCGTTAGTTCGTGACATCATAAAATGACGGCAAATAATACAATATATCCAAACATTACGTTCATCAAACAATACAATATAATACATTATGAAACGACACGTAACAACAATCCAAACAAGCTTTAAGAGTATGGTAAGGATATTTTTTTACATAGAACTTAAACTCAGGTTAAAAGAAAACAAAGGAACCTTTTGTTTCACAGTGGCGTAATTGCAGAAGGGTGAGAGCTGAGGTGGTACAGATGAGACAAAAACACAGATTTTGGTGAGAAGTCTTTTGAGGTCTTTAATAGGTTTAATGGAATTTTAATGGCCCCAATCATATTTCTTAGCTCATCCACATTCGCTTTCTGCTGTCCAACCAAACTTTCTCTTCTATCCAACTGAAGTAAAGTCAAGCCATGCTTTTTATGTTACAGGTGTCATTAAATTTTCTTCCCTGAATTATGTAGTACCCTTGAGGGGAAAGTATCTTTTTTATTGAATATCATATCAAATTCTCTCAAATGCCAGGAACAATCCAAGTTTCAGGTACAAAAAACTTCCTTCTTTTATTATTTTTATACCAAAAAAATTAGTGAAATGGTCTTAGTTTAACTCAATTTGGCATTCTTTGTTCAACATAGTGTTGGATTTCAAGAACATTTCATCTCCAGCACCATCTTCCTCAATTTGCTTATGGGGTTAGTAATTTCTTTTTTCGTTTGTTTTTTAGAGTGTTTCTGTTATTGCATTTTTTAGGGGAGCCTTGGAGCAACACTAAAGTTGTATAGGTCACAGGTTCGAGCCGTTGAAGCAGCTACTAATGCTTGCATTAGGTTAGGCTGTCTACATCACACCCTTGGTGCGGCCTTCCCCGGACCCTACGTGAACGCGGGATGCCTTGTGCACCTGAATGTCCGTTCTGTAGTTGCATTTCAATTTGACTTGGGGTTTGATATGTTTTGTGTAGTTTCTATGGGGAAGAGAGCATACCAAACGTGGGACAAAGGAGATTTCTCATTGTAACGTTTCAAACACCTGTATATCTTTTTTCTTCATGCTTTCACCACAAAGCTTGATTAATGTATTTGGGGATTTTGATTATACTTTTACAGCCCATTAACGACATTTCGCGAAAATTTGGTTGTTAGACTTCAGGATGCTGAGGGAAACGAGATATCACGTGCAGGTTATATCATCTTTATATTCAAAGTTTGATGCTAATATTATCTTTTATAAAGGTTATCAACAATGAGTTTCTCTTTGGCAGAAGTTCAGACCTTATCGATAGTTGAGAAGGGTTATTGGGACGATTTTTTCCAACTTGAAGGAGGTGATTATGTACATATGAAGTTGCAATTCATTCTCAGTGAAGATGAACGCAACCGAATTCGTAATGTGGTAATATATACTACTGTTGCTCACTTGTTTTATTCAGAAGGGATACTGAATAATTTAGATACCTAACATCAAAACGTGTTCCCACCCTACTGGTACAGGGAGTTTCTAAAAGGATTTTAAAAGTACTTAAAGTATTTCTTTTTTTCTATGCTTTAAACTTTTGGTAGCCTTGACAATGCTATCAGCATATGTATAATGATATCTCGATTGGCTTGGCAGAGAGAATCTGCTCTGAAGAAGAAAAAATACATAGTTCCTGCAACAAATGTTGAATATAAAGGAACAACAATTCCTGTGGGAGATACATTTGCATCATCTCCGCCCATCAGAAGGAAGTTTTCAGGTTTGATCACACATTCTAAGAACTATATTAAGGAAAGAAAGACAAGGGAATAACATTTATGATGGAGTATTTCCCCGTTGTAGTTTTTCTTAGAAATATTTATGGCTGGCATCTCTAGTTATTAGATTTTAGCTAGATTTATTCCAGTAATTCAAGAGTAGGAGAATTCCATTCGGGCTTTGCAGCTTAACTGAAGATGGAAGTTGAATGAATTAGCACTGTGGTGACTACGTAGAGAACGCATAGTAGCTTAATGAGGTCAAAATTTGCTTTTTAAGTGAAGAATTATAACCGAGTAGATTGCTAAGAGTTTTGATAGCAAATCTGCCTGTTTAGAATGCCACAGATAGAAGTGAAGCAACCTCATCTTCACCTGTGAAAGAAATGGTTCAAATACAATATTCTGAGCCTGACAGACCATCAGCTAAGAAGCTTCAAACTCCGGTAATACGTGATTATATTTCTATAAAACCTGTTAATGAGCAAGATGCTCAGTCTATGTTGAAGAAGGATGTAGCTGCAAAGAAAGAGTCTGTGCCTCAAAAGACAATTATTGATCCATTTAATAAATCTGAGGATCAAAGTGCTCAGTCTATGTTGAAGATAGATCTTGCTGCAAAGAAAGAGTCCATATCCCAAACGAAGATTGTTGATCCATCTAATAAACCTGGGGATCAAGGTGTATTGAAGAAAACTCCTAGCAGTGTCAGGAATATGATAAGTGCCTTTGAAACCGGCCTTGCTCAGGTACTTCTACTCTCCAGCTTATTGTAGGGTGAAATATGCCATGTAGTGAACTTGCTAAGCTGATAACCTTTTTTCCTTTTGTTTACATGAAACTTCGAAAATATTGAACTGACTGCATACATCAGAAGAAGGGGAGAAGATCGCTTACAAGGAATCGAGCATCAAAATCCCAACCAAATTTAGTTGGAATAGGAGGCTCCGTAAAAGATTTGTATCCAGAGGACACTGCAAGGCCTAATAAGATGAGTGCACTAAGAGTAGCAAGACCTCTTAATGGGAACTTGCCAGAACCTCAAAGTAATATTGGCAAAAGAGGGGAAATTAGTTTTCCTGAGCAAGATATTGTTGGTAAAGGACAGCCCGTGTTCCATGAAAAGTTGAAGCAGTCAAGTGTGCACATTGTCACATTTAATGAAGCAGGCTCAAGTCAGCAAGAAACTTTAAGATCTGCTGAAAAGGAGTCTAATACTGGAGCTACTTCACCTGTAGATTTGATGAGAGGAGAAAGTAGTTCACTTGAGCAAGATATTGTTGGTACTGGACAGCCCGTGTTCCATGAGCAGTTGAAACAGTCAAGTGTGGACATTGTCCCATTTAATGAAGCAGGCTCAAGTCAGCAGGATACCTTAAGATCTGCTAAAAAGGAGTCAAATGCTGTAACTACTTCACCTGTGGATTTGATGAGATTATCCAACCTGGAAACAGCTACTAGCTCCCAAATAATTAATGTGGCTCATTCAGATATGCTGAAAGCTAATAATTTAGCTGCTGACCAAGATCGTTCTAATGATCCTTCAGTTGCAGAACAACAAAACAGAGAAATTAGATCAGAGGCTTTACTAGAAGTTCATATTGAAAGGGTTTCAAATGAGAAACCAAAATTAATAGCGTATTGCGAAAATGAGCATTATGACTCTGAAAATTCTGGTGTATGGATATTTCCGGATAACAAAAATCGTGTCTGTATAACAACTGCAGGCGAAAGCGCAGTGCATTTATTGGAAGATTGCCACATTGGAGTAGATGATCATCAAAGGGATAAGAAACCACCTAAGCAAGAAATTAAACGGAAGGTACTTCAGTATCCTTGCCTATCTCCTTTAGAAGTTCAATAGTATCCCAGAAGTTAGTCCGCTATCCTTAGTGATGTTGCTTTATCACACATATCTACTAACAATTCCTCATACTGATCATGTCATCAACCCATCATTGTGTGATTAAAATAATTGATAAAACATTTGGTCCTCTGGGAAGATGATTTTGTTTGCTCGAACAAGTTGCTGCAAAGATAACTGTTTACTAATTGGTTTCATGTGCAGCATGGTTTTTTCCATAGAAGTGACTCCACGATAAAGAAAGGAGGAGAGAAGCCACGAAAGCCAAGAAAATCTCAGTCTGAGAGCTCTGGACAAAATGGCCCTTTTGGACCCGTTAGACAGGTCACATATGCATATTTGTGTTGACTCATACATTTATATATTAGTGTGTCATTTGGATGTCTGCTATCTAACTGTGAACTTAGGGAAGACAGCAATCACCATCCTGCAGCAGTTAGATGGTTTGATCTGAATATTTTAGTTTTGACTCTTTACCTTTATAATTGAACCGTACATCTCATTCTCTTCAGATCTAGATGCAAATTTCAAAATTCTACCCTATCCTTTATCTTTGCTCAAGTATAAAAAGTATTAATAAGGGCTATAAAATGCATGCTTCGGACAATCATTAGCGGACATGACTATCAGAACTCCTTCCCTTGACAATGATTTCCTTCAGTCCGCTTTTGCTTTGGCCATAGACGAACATGAATATTTTCAAAAATGACGAATGCTTGCTATTGTTTACATTTTTCAGGTGATAAAAATTGCAGTTATTGTAGGGTTTGGAATATTAGTTCTCCTCACCAGACAAAAAGAAATCAGGTATGCATCACATGCATTCCCTTCAATCTTCTCTTCTGTTTCTTGCCTCATTGGTGTAGCTGAACAAATTCATTCAACAGGAGAAATGACAGAAAATCGAAGGAGTTTTACTTCGCTAGTCCAGATTTCATGGATCAGTTGGCATCTTCAGAAGAAAAATGGAGTCTATTAACCGCAGAAGGAAATTGATTCATCGCCTTCTCCCAAGACAAGGCTAACCTTTTGGCGATCATAAAGGATATATCTGATTGAATTGCACTTTTGTTGATAGTGATAATCTTGTATTTTGGAAATAATGGTCTGGTCTGTCACTCTTTGGCATTCATCTAAACATTTCTTTTCGTGCATTTAGCATGTTTTTAAATATTCTTTCTCCATAGATGTAAGACAAGCTGCTATTTTGGTTAATAATGAGTACATCAAATCCTTCCTGTAGATGATTAAGGTTTAGAATGGAAATGAGAATACAGATTGCAGTAAATTGGTTTTTACCTTGACGATGAAAACTTATGGTGTTTACACCAAAATACCAAATCAATAAATACGTGACATATGTTTAGCGGTTCATTTTCTAAGAGCAAAGTGGAAAAAGGAAAAAAAAAAAATGTAGGTGTTTGGATGTGTTTAGGCATGCAAATTTAATTAGAATCAGTTCCATATATAGGGTCTAGTAGCCCATTCTATTCCTAAAGTTTGCAGGCACTTAATAGTTCCAGATGGTATTTGTCCTAATTCAAGAAAATTCTCAAAAAATTCAGCAGATCCCGCTTCAAAAATTAATGGCTTTATACTTTCCACAATGCATGGCTGTACTTGCCCAATAATATTTTCCTCAGTCAAATATTCTTTGATTAAATTGACATTGTATTTGTTATCATCAAAATCGATTAATGAAACATTTGGAGCTTATAATTATAAGGGCATAAACTAGATGATACTACAATTTATATAATACAATTCATGAATTTTTTTAATATATACATTTTATTTTGTTAAAGTAAATTAATATACGCTGATATAGAGTATTGAAGGGAATTTTTTCAAACAAATTATGACAGGAGTATAACATAACAAAAAGTTGACGTAGTCACTTAGAGATATCAAATATGTAGGGAAATGACACGGGAAAATAACAACAATAATACTGCAATAATGTTATTTGTGAGAATACACACGAATTGGCTTGAGTCGTGCTAGGCACTGTCCTAAGAAACTATTTCAGCAATGTGAAATGTTTTCTCAGGATTAAACAAGCCCATCTCCATTTGGGAGGATACAGGAATCAGCAAAATTAAATAATAAATCCAGCAAGTTGGAAGAGAAAAAGCAACTAATATCTTATGCCAATCAAAATATTATAAAAGAAGAAATCAGAAAGAGAGGGACATATAGGAGGGAAAGAAGATAGAAGGATTTCTTCTTTGCTAATAATTAGCTTTTCTTGGTGTTTGATGATTGAAGAATGATGGCCTAATCATGGCTATTTATAGGCCTAAGGAAAGCTCTTATATTGCCAAATGTTTCATTGCATGAAAGAGGATTGCCACTTGTTTATGACTTAGCCATTTGGCTACATATCTTCACGCAAAGTGCCACATGGTGGGTATTCATAGCCACTTGGCTTAGTAGAGCTATTTGTCAGACAATCTTCTAAATCAATGCCACATATAAAAAATCTTTTGACACATTACCAATAATTATCAACAAAATATTCATTTGAAAATCCTACGTATGCAATTTTTTTATTTATTTATTATTATTATTTTAACCCCTTCTTTTCCTTCCTTTTCATATTCATTTAAAAAGAGAAAAAAAGTCAGAAATAGTCAGATTCACAATTAGTAATTGAAAAATAGCTACAGTTTCAAAAGTAATTTAGCCACTTTTTTTAGGTAAAGAAAAAATCTTAACAAAAATACCGTTAAAAATTCGAAAAAATTTCATCATAATATGCTGGAGTTCGAATTTTTTTACATATGAGATTCCAATATAATGTGTTGGATTTTTACAATGTGTTGGAGTTCCAACATAATATGCTAGAAGTTTATATGCAGAAGCTCCATGATCCAGCATATTATACTGGAACTTTCCGTGTGCTGAAGTTCCAACATAATATGCTGGAAGTTTATGCACATGAGCTCCATAATCCAGCATATTATGCTGGAAATTTTCGTGTGCTGGCGTTCCAACATAATATGCTGGAAGTTTATGCATGGGAGCTCCATAATCCAGCATATTATGTGGAACTTTCTGTGTTTCAGCAAAATAGTGGTAATTTTTCATTAACTTTGCAAATGCTGGTTATTTTTCAATTATCAGTCGAAAACTGGCTAGCCCGTATAGCCAGATTTACAACTGGTAATTGATAATAGCCATAGTTTCAAAAGCAGTCAAATTTTAGCCATTTTTTCATGTAACGATAAAATCTGAACAAAAATACCCTTAAAAATTCGGAAAAATTCCAGCATAATATGCTGGAGTTTGAATTTTTTACCTATGAGATTCAAGCATAATGTGTTGGAATTTTATAATGTGCTAGAGTTCCAACATAATATACTGGAAGTTTATACACAGGAGCTCCACAATCCATCATATTATGCTGGAACTTTCCGTATGGTGGAGTTCCAACATAATATGCTGGAAGTTTATGCACATGAACTCCATAATCCAGTATATTATGCTGAAACTTTCCGTGTTTCAACAAAATAGTGATTATTTTGTAATGACTTTACAAATGCTGGCTACTCTTAATTACTACTCCGAAAACTGGCTAGCCCGTGCTATTTGGGGGATTTGCATCTATACCCGCTTTTTGGGTCACGTTTTAACTTGTGCCCGCTTTGCAAAAAAAATTGCTAGTGTACGCACTTTTTCGCGTAACTTCAGCATACGGGGCTGAAGTAGCAAAGACAATCACGAAAAATTTCAGCATTCTAGTAGACGGGCCTGAAATAGCAAGTGTGCTGAAGTTTTTGTTTGTAATTGCTGGACTTAAGCATAGTAGTTGAAGTTTTGTTCTCTATTTGCTGAAGTTTTTGTTTGTAATTGCTGAACTTAAGCATAGTAGCTGAAGTTTTGTTCTCTATTTGCTGAAGTTTTTGTTTGTAGTGGCACTAAATAAGCTGAAATTTTTTTGTCCTGGATTCATTAGTTTTGTCATTAAGCTTTTTCAAAAGCTTCAGCAGAAGATGCCGAAGTTATTTAGTTCATTTATAAAAACTTCAGCACTAAATAAGCTGAAGTTTTTTTGTCCTGGATAAGTTTTTTCAAAAACTTCAGCTTATATAGTGCTGAAGTTATTTAGTTCATTTGTAAAAATTTCAGCACTAAAAGCTGAAGTTTTTTTGTCCTGGTCTTCATTAGTTTTGTCATAAAGCTTTTTCAAAAACTTCAGCAGAAGATGCTGAAGTTATTTAGTTCATTTGTAAAAACTTCAGCACTATATAAGCTGAAGTTTTTGAAAAAGCTTTCTAACATACTAGATAAATAATCAGATTGCCAACAGTATCTAAATCATAAATTTTGGAAACAATAAACGTGAAAAGAACAGAATTATCATTGTCTACTAACTTACGTACGTGAAATATTCATAAATTATTGTCTACTAACTTACGTAATTATTTATAATTTATTTTTAAATAATCTGATAAACATATTTATGGCAATCATCCCATGAACTGAAGTTTCATAGCAGCACCAACAGCGGCAGAAGAAAGAAGAAGAAGAAAACGAAGGAGGAGAAGGAGGAGGAGAAAGGGGGCTAAACTTGTTCTAAAAGAGGGTACAAGTTAAAACTTTTAAAAAAAATAGGTATAGGTTAAATGGGGGCGAACATATAGGGCGCCCCGTGCAATTTTTACCACAACGTTAGTACGTCGGCCCATGCAAAAGTGGCCAAAACAGCCCAAAACCCGACCAAATTCGCATTTGTGAGCCCAATTCTCAGACTCGAAGAAAAAGGGGAAAACAAATACAAAAACCCTAGTTCTAAAACCCTTACAGTGGAGTCTGTCTGGTTCACATTACCTTCTTCCTCTTCGTTATTGCATCTGTTTCTCAGCGTAATCGAAGATGGTTCGAAGCTTAAAGAACCCTAAAAAGGCTAAAAGGAAGAACAAGGTGAGATTTTTATCTCAAAAAAATTGTATTCTTTGTTTTGCAATCAATTTTGATGAAAGAAAAATCTGAATTTTAAATAAATAAAGCAGGGCGGAAAGAAAGGAGAAGGATCGTCGAATGAAGCACCGTCTTTGCCAGCAAAAGTATGGCAACCAGGTGTAGACAAATTGGAGGAAGGTGAAGAGCTTCAGTGTGACCCTTCTGCTTACAACTCTCTTCATGCCTTCCATATTGGCTGGCCATGCTTGAGGTAATAAATAAATAAATAAATAACTGTACCAATTGTTGATATTAGTTATGTTAATAATATTTTGTTTAAATGTGATATATTTATGCAATTTATTGTGGTTGTGAATGGGGCAGTTTTGATGTGTTGCGTGACTCGCTCGGCTTGGTGCGAACTGAGTTTCCACATACTGTATATTGTGTAGCAGGAACACAAGTAAGCTCTTTTTTATTGCTTGAGTTGTTGTTGGATAGAAATAGAAATATCATGAATGCTGATTTATATCATGCCAAGAACTGCTCTGGCATTTAGCTTTTCTTATATTCTGAGAAGGAGGATCATTTCTATACGTTGAAGAAACTTTTTTTTATAAGCAAAAGTAATTAGTACTAATTTTTTGTACATTGCAGAAATTCCTGTTGGTGTCTTCCCATTTATTTTTCAGATTTTTGTTGTAACACAGAGAGTTGATTATAGGACATTATTTGCTTACTCATGTCAGCCTCTTATAAAGAAAACATAATTATTTACTAAAGTCACTGTTTCTCCGTGTATAGTATAGAATTCCTTTCTCAATTAGTAGGGTAAACGAAAGTGAAAACCCAAAATTTGCTCTCACCATTTGATTTAGAGTAGATTAAAGCTCTTGAAACATGCTTTTCTCATTCTTACAGGCAGAGAAAAGTTCTTGGAACTCAATTGGAATTTTTAAGTTATCTAATGTATCTGGAAAAAGGCGGGACTTGGTGCCAGACAAGAAAGGTGATGAGACTGATATGGACAGCGATAGTAGTGACAGTGATGAAGAAGAAGAGGAAGCTGGATCAGGGACACCTGTTCTACAAGTACTTTTATTTCTTAACATCATCTAATAGTTAATATGATAGTGTATACGTCACATTTTCCTTCTAAAACTTCTTTTCTTAAAAATCTGCAGCTACGCAAGGTGTTTCATGAAGGATGTGTTAATCGCATCCGTGCTATGACACAAAACCCTCATATAGTTGCTTCTTGGGGTGATACTGGTCATGTTCAGGTCAGACTCTTCGCAATAAAAATTCAATAATTGAATTTGTAAGTCGATAATTTAATTCTTTAAGTTGTTTTGAGAGTATTTACAACAACAACAACATACCCAGTATTATCGGGGTCGGGGTGTTTTGAGAGTATTTAAGTTGTTTTTAGAGTATTTATGTTGGTTTTAACTGTTTGGCATCACTCTCCATGGTGCAAACATATGAAAACATTTATAGAGAACTAGAGAAAATGTTAGATACAATCTTAAACCTCAAAATGGTATACTTCCATATTTGATGATGTTCTGCTGAATTATATAGTTCTCTGGCAGACACAGTACCCCTCCCTTGACAACGAAGAAACAAGCTGAAACTACAGTACTTCTCAAACAAAGACTTATATACCAATTCTTGTTCATTGTAATAGTTATCAAGACTACTCTTTAAGAAAAGAATGTTCCACTGCTTGTCAAGCTTAATATATCCAGACCTTAGTATGATTTCTCCTCTCTTATACTAGGTTTGAAACACTGGCAGGTTTGGGATTTTAGCTCGCACTTAAATGCTTTGGCAGAATCAGAGAGTGATCTTAGCCATGGGGCTTCTGCAGTCTCTAATCAATCACCCTTAGTTAAGTTCGGCGGACATAAAGATGAAGGCTATGCTATAGATTGGAGTCCTCTTGTTCCAGGGAGGCTCGTATCAGGTATGGCATAAATAATCTTATCACTTTTGCACGTAATTATTAATTACGTTCTGTGATGATATGCCATGGTCATAAAATTAATCTGACATTCGATGCTGTTACTTGTCTCCTCAGGGGACTGCAAGAGTTGTATCCATTTATGGGAGCCAACATCTGGTACAACATGGAATATTGATGCTAATCCTTTTGTTGGACACAGTGCAAGTGTTGAAGATCTTCAGGTGCTCATATATGGCTTACATCTACTTACCTCACCTTCAGTTAGGGGAAACTTTTGCAATTTGGGCATCTTATTGCGTCTGCTAAATTCTAAAGCATTTTTTCCAACTTCCTCTGATGCAGTGGAGCCCTACAGAACCTTCTGTATTTGCCTCTTGCTCAGTTGATGGAAGTATTGGAATATGGGACATCCGTGTGGGTAAATCTCCTGCTACAACTATAAAGGCACATAAGGCAGATGTCAATGTTATATCATGGAACAGGTATTTGACTTTTCTGTTGTGTTACTTTCTACATCTATAGTTATGGTTAATTGGTTGTATAGTCATGTGATTGCTTTTTCACCAGGTTGGCTAGCTGTATGCTTGCATCTGGAAGTGATGATGGGACATTTTCTATTCGAGATCTTAGATTGCTCAAGGTATTCTACTAGTAGTCCTTAAATTCGTGGCAGTTGGCACCAATGGTATGATTATCTGATAATCTCAAATTCTGATTATCCCATTAAAGATTTAACTACTTTGGGTTGGTTTGGGAGAAGAGGGGGGGGGGGGGTGCGAAGTGGGGATGACATTATTAGCAGTTTGTCGTGCCCTACTTCCAACCTAGTAGCTGAGCCTTCATTGTGGAAGAAACTGTGGTTTAAGAAGGAGAAAGGAGAGTATAGGTGGTCTCTTGTCAATTTGCTAATACAAGTTAAAGAATGAATGCTTATCCTCTTGTTCACTTTGACAGGAAGGGGATGCCGTCGTGGCACACTTTGAATATCACAAACATCCCATCACTTCTGTCGAATGGAGTCCCCATGAACCCTCAACTGTGGCTGTTTCATCATCAGACAATCAGCTGACGTAAGAAAACCTACTGACACAACTCTAATGAGAATGTGGAACAGTTTTCTCTCTCTCTCTCTCTCTCTCTCTCTCTCTCTCTCTCTCTCTATCTATCTATCTATCTATCTCTTTAACATCTGTTTCTTAATAAGTTTGGATGTTTCTCAATGGATGTAATCTGTCAGTGTGAATCACCTGCTGTTTGATTCCTTTCTCTATTTATCAGTATTTGGGACCTTTCTTTAGAGAGAGATGAGGAAGAGGAAGCTGAATTCAAAGCTAAAATGAAAGAGGAAGTCAATGCCCCAACAGATTTGCCCCCACAACTTCTTTTCGTTCACCAGGTTGTTATATCTCTATTTCTGACTGATGAGAGCAAACTTCATCTGTTTTATGTTTATTCTTATGACATATCTCTTGCACTGTTAACAGGGTCAGAAAGATTTGAAAGAACTTCACTGGCATTCTCAGATCCCAGGAATGGTTATATCCACTGCAGCAGATGGATTTAACATACTAATGCCATCAAACATTGAAAACGCGCTTCCTGCAAATGATGCTTGATAGTTCATATTTCTGAAGTGCCTACTCTGTGTGATGGCATTTGTTCTTTTGCTTTTGTAATATATATTGTGACTGAGTTCCAGCAATTTTGTCCCAGAATCTATTTATGGATCTTGAACTATAGCAATACATATAAATCAACACATTGCATGGTTGAGATGTGAGCATTTCTTTTCTGTTTCCTAGTTCGCTCTTTGCTCTACCCTCCAGCTTCTCGAAATTTAGAACCTCACCATGTTACAAGAGTTCTTGAAAGAGAAAAGAATAGTATATAATTAGGAATGTCGCTGTGATGGTGTGCCAGTTCTATAACAGATGAAATATTTTGCTAAGGATCTCCACAATGTTAATTACCTTATAGAAAGCACATGATGAAGTAAAGAGAAAAGTCTTTGGTGGGTATTTGAGAAAAAAGACAATTCTTCGAAAATATAAAAGATCTGTATGCTGTCACAAGGATAAGAGATCCATATGAGATTTTCATATTAGATGGTTTACAATAGGGATTAGACATTTTAGGGTTGTACTTGTTTGCACTAGTTGTGGATGATGTAATATGTATAAAAGAACAGGTTTTATGGCATGTTATTTGAGAGTAAAATTGTGTTGGATAGAATTAGATTAGATAAAAATGTGGTATTAAAGTTATCTTTCGATATATCCAATAAAATGAGATTGACTCTATAACCATATTGAGACTAGCAATGTTTTATTGTAATGAATGTGGGACCTCTAAAAGCAATATATCATCTTCGTAGAAATTGGATGTTGAAATGATAGTACAAATTGACACAAGATTAAAAATGAGCACATCTGCATAAGGTACAAGTAGCACGCTTCCGTGATTAAAATGTAACAAGGTCACTGAACTTTTTGGATGAAGTTGAAGTCTTGCAGCATAGTATACACTCTGGAACATTAAGTATAATAAGCAATGTCTCAGATTTCTTAAATCAATTCTACAGCCACCATTTAACATTGTTATCAAAATAAATGAAACTACAAAATTGTGTTATGGATCAGGTAGAAGCAGCCCCTGCCATCATCATACTTGTGCAACGGCATCATGCGACTTGAGACGGCAGTCATCCTCAACATAATCGAGGAGAGCATGCTTCGGCTACATTACCCTGATTGGGAATCTGCCATTCCATTAAGAACATAATTGGAGAGATACAGTGGCACAGCCTCGTCGTTATGAGTTGACTGCTTTGCCTGTTAATCTGGGGAAAGGATCCTGCTTGCTCAAAACTACAACTTTGCTCTTGTGGGCAAAGTAACCTTTGACAAGGTTCTTATATATCAAAATGGACATGATGCACTCCACCTGCAACAAAGCACATAAAGCTCCAGTTATGTAAGCAAAGGCAAAAGCCCCCCC